ACCCCCCCCTCTTCGCCACCCCCTCCCCCCATGTATGTTCCCCTCCGCCCCCGCTTCCCACCCCCGGGAGATCCCCGGTTTCACGCTACAGCACCCCACCCACCCCGGGGGTTGGGCTTGATCCCACCCCCGCGGCGATCCTTCAGCCAGCCCCTGGGGTGGTCCTAGATCCGCCCCCCTGGGGGTTGATCCAAGGCTGGAGTGATTCCCCCCACCCCGTCCCTAAGGGTTTATCCAGGTCTGGGTGATACCCCATCCCACGCTGGTGGCGTCTGCACCCCCCCTCATCCACCCGCTGGTGATCCCCAATCCCGTACTGGGGGCAGGTGGGGGCTGCACCCCTCCCGCATCCCCCCCAAGGTGATCCCACATCCATCCCCCAGGTGATCCCGCATCCACCGCAGGTGCAGGTGGGTCTTCACCCCCCCACACATCCACCCCTGGGTGATCCCCAATCCCACCCCAGGAGCTGGTGGGGTCTGCCAGCCCCCCTCCACCCTGAGGTGATCCCGCAGCCACCCCCGGGTGATGCCCAATCCCCACCCCAGGAGCTGGTGGGGTCTGCACCCCCTCACATCCACCCCCAGGGGATCCCCCAACCACCCCCCAAGGCTGATCTCCCTCAGGTGGTCCCAAATCTGTCCCCCCCAGGGGCTGATCTGACCCCCACAGGGGTCCCCCACCCCCCCAGGCCTGGTGGGGCCTGCACCCCCCCCGGGTGATCCCAGATTCCCCCTCCTGGGGGCTGATCTCTCCCAGGATGATCCCCAATCCCTCCTGGGGCCCGGGGGTCCTGCACCCCTGGGCCGTTCCCGCTGCCCCGGGAGATTCTCCCTCAGACACAAGGCCTGGTCTCCCCTCAGCAGCCCCCGGATCCCCCCTGCCCTTGGGATCCCCTCACAAGCCTGGATTCCCCCTGGGATCCTGCCCCGGCCCAGTTCCCCCCAGGCCTGGGCCTGCTCCCCGGGCCTGCGGCCTGTCCCTCAGGGGGACCCCTCTGAGGCTTCTGATCTGCCCTCCAGGGATTCCCCCCTTTGGGTCCCTCCTCATGGGGATCCCCCCAAGCTTCCATCCTTCTTCCATGCTTTGGGGTCTCCCCACTGAGGCCTCTCACCTGCTCCCCTCCCTTCCCTGGGTAATCCTTCCCCATGGAGCTGTAAGATTTGTCCCAATGGGATCTGAGGGGATCCTTCCCCTACAGCTTCTCCATTGAAATACCTTCCCCCCCAGCTTGTCCTCCCCCTTGGGAGACTTCTAAGCCTCCCAGAACTCCCCAAATATTCCCCCCCCAGCTCCCTTGGATCTGGGAGACCCCTCTCCAAGCATGCCTCCCTTCCAGGGAGGATTTTATTGGATCTGTGGTGCCCCTTCCTTTGAAACCCCCATTTTGTGGGGGGAAGTGAACTCCCTTGGGAGATCCCTCTTTGGAATGCCTGTTGGCTCAGATCCCCCTGACCTTGGGTCTATGGATCTCACCCCTCCTTAGGGAGCCCCCCTGAACCCTTCTCCCATAGGATCTGTGGGGATCCCCCATGGATCCTGCCCGCCACCTTGGGGACACCCCCCTGAGCCCTTCTTCCCTGCCCACACACCCCTTTTCTCATCCCCCCACCAGTGTGGGGATCACGCCACCATTCAGGATAGCCCCTCCAGGATTTCGGGGATCCTGCACCCCCTCTTTATCCCCCCCCAAACCTCTCAGGGATGCACAGGGGGGAACTCAGCACCTCATTCATCTCGGCGTGGGGGGAATGGATGGATGCCTGAGTCAGGTTCCCCCCACTCCCTATCAGGAGTCAGGGGCCTCCCCCATTGTGGGGGTGGATGCCTAGCAGGGGTCTCCTTTTCCTTGCAGAGCCGAGCGGGGAGTGATTTCGGGAAGCGGGCAAGGAGGGAGCCGGCGGGACCGTGCTGGGCACAGGCAGGTGGAGGATGAACGGCGAAGCCGAGTGCCCTGCAGACTTGGAAATGACAGCTCCCAAAAACCAAGGTGAGCCCCTCTGCAGCTCCCCCAACCACGCTGGCATTCCCACGGGAACATCACTGCCACGTTTAAAAATAACAATGAAAAAACCTCCGGGCGCCCCTTTTCCCTGAGGGATGGAGGAGGAGGAGGGATGAAGGAGGAGGAGGGATGGAGGAGGAGGAGGGATGGAGGATCCATGATCCCAACTGCCAGCAGATCAGGGAGGGGGGAGGATCTGCCCCTCCCGATCCCTCTCTGCCTCAGGGAACACGCACACACGTGTGTGAGCGCACGGATACACGCTCCAGTGCACTGGCAGCCCCTTGGCATTGGGGTGCTCTTTTTGGGCACCAGAGTTTTGTGGGGGCTTGGGAAAGAGGGGCCTGGCACAGAGGTGCTACCTTCCCCCCTCACATCTGGGCTGCATTAAAAGCCGAGCCATTACCTTGGGCCTCCGGCTTCCAGACCCCGGGATGACATCAGAGCTTCAGCTTTTATTGGAAAAGGGGCAGGAAAACAACGGAAAAAAGAAGGATGTTTATTCAGGGCAGCTTGTAGGGCTCTGCTACTTCACCTCCCCCAAAAACTCCCCGGGTCCCCCAAAGGCCCCCGAGTGGGGTCCAGCCCCTCCGTCCCACGGGGTCCCCCCGATTTTCCTCCCATGCCGCAGTCGGGTTGTTGCCTCGAGCGAACCCGGCCGGAGCACGTGTCCTTCTCCGGGACTTTAGATGGATTTAATTACACCGGGGCAGCTTTCCTAATATAGACCCGGCCCGGCCGGTGCCAGGAGAGCCAGGATAAATTGGTCCCAGGGCACAGACAACCCCATTCATCCTGGTGGGTGAACTCTGCAATTCCAGTGTTTTTTGACAAACCCTAGCCTGAGGGAGGGGGAACAGAGGGATGGGGGCCTGAGTGTGGGGTCTCTGTTGTCCCCACTCTGCTGCCAGTGAGGGTTTTGGGATGTTTCTGCTGTTTTTTATGTATTCCTGTGGGATGTGGTTATTCTGGCTGTCTGCCGGTGGGAGGTTCACGCAGGGCCAAAGGTCTCCGGGTGTTTCTGCGTCGAAAGGGGAAAACTGGGGCACAGGGCTTGATGAGAGCAGGTTTGGAGGGGCCTTGTCCACTTCTCCCTCCCCTCTGGATTTTTGTGGCCGTGCTGCTTTTGGTAATTCCTCCTGATTTCTGCAAGTAAAGTCAGCACCAACTTCCCAGCCCCATTCTGCCTCATTGGTCCTTGCCTGGGGGGAGCTGGAAAATGGATGGGAAAAACAGGAAGACAGAATTTGGGGCTGCATTGGTGCCCACCCCAGCTCTGATCCCCGTCTGGCACTGTGGGTTTCCCATCTCATTTCCCTCTTCATAATGTTTTGGGATGAAGTTGGGAATATGGAGACACATCCCAAGCCACTGTCTCCCTGCTTTCCAGGGGACTCTTTCCATCTTCCCCCTCTAATTAATCCCTGATGAGATCACTAAAGGGACCAGCCAGATCCCAAACTGTTCTCTGCCTTGACCCCCTGCAACCTGGCAGGTCCAGGAAGGAAATTGGGATGGGAGATCAGGTCCTGGCTGCGCTCCCTGCACCAGCTGCAGGTCCTGTATGTCCTGTAACATCCCTCCCTTGGATTTGGGATATGAGGTGGGGGGTTGACCTTCACCAGACCCCTGCAGGGGCAGGACGTGGAGGTGGTTTTCCTGCATATCGAGTCTGAGCAGAGGGAGAGCTGCAGCTGGAGGAATGTCTGCAGCTGGGTATTTCTGGGAGCTTGGTTTCATTCCTGAGGATGGAGGGAACGGTGCTCCACTCAAATCCATGACCTGCTGTGCTGTCCCCACCTCTTTGGGATGCTCTTGTGTCCCACTGTCCCCATCTTGCTGGGATGCTCCATGTCCCATAGGCAGCTCCAAATCTCCCAGTCTTCACCCATCAGTGATGTGGGGCAGGGAATGCCAGTCCCACACCGGGGGAATGCCAGTCCCACACCAGGAGAGCCCCAGAGCTCGAGTGCCCATCCCGGGATGAGGCAGCCAGGGATTGTGTGGGCGAGTGGCTCGGGGCTCTGCTCCTCCTCCAGCCCATCCCCACATCCCCAGGGACCTCTCCTTCCGCTCCCAGGGCCCGCTGCATTCCCAGAGCCACCCATGTTTGCAGAGCACCCGGGGTTGTGCTCCCCAGCTGGCGTGGAAGCTCAGAGCAGTCAGGAATTCCCCTGGCAAGGAAGCCAGCCCCAAGGTTGGGGCTGGGTGAGGCATTCAGGGCTGGGATATCCTGCCTGCTGCCTGCCCCAGCATGGTGCTACTGCGTGTCCTGGCCTCATGGCTGCTCCAGGCCCTCCGGCTTTGCCGTGTGCCCATCCCACCATCCCAGTGGCTTGTCCCTGTGGGAGCTGGGGATGCTCCTCCTGGCATTTTGGGGGATGTTGGGGTGACATAACCACCACCCCTGCGCTGTCAGGGACCCCCTGTGAGACGGGGGGGCTGTGCTGGGCTCTGCCTGCCCTCGCTTTGTGGTGTGGGAGCTTTGACCTTGGCAGAGGTCACCATGGAGCTGGGCCCAGGTGATGGCAAAGCTCTCCGAGGTGCGGGAGAAGCAACGCTGCGGTTTTCCCGTTGCTCCAGACACATCTTTTCCACTTAGAAAGTGGTTTTCCCTGTTTCCTCCTTGGCCGGAGAGCTCATCGCTCCCATCTCGCTCCGCGGGGCGTAGGAAATAGCCCTCTGCTCCCGTGCAGCAGAGCCATCCCTTATCTGATGGTTTTCTGGGATGAGCGAGTCTCTCTGGTTTGCGCCGAGTGGAATTTCTCGCTTTGCCCGGATTGTTTTGGCCCGGTAGAGAGTTGCTCGAGGGTGATGGAAACAGCCACGTCCCTTTGATCTTTAATCTCGAGAGGCAGCATGTGGAGATTACGTGTCCTGGCGTGCGGTCCGGAGCGGAACGCCGGGAGCTGTAGTCCCGGTGTCCTGCCGGGAAGGGAAGGGAAGGGAAAGGAAGCAAATGGAAGGAAAGGGAAGGGAAGCTGCCTGCCCCTGGCTGCTGCTGATCCCGTCTCTCCGCTGCTCAGACCGCTGGTCGCAGGAGGACATGCTGACCCTCCTGGAGTGCATGAAGAATAACCTGCCCTCCAACGACGGGAGCAAGTTCAAAACCACCGAGTCCCACCTGGACTGGGAAAAAGTGGCTTTCAAGGACTTCTCGGGGGAGATGTGCAAGATGAAGTGGATGGAGATCTCTAACGAGGTAACTGACGCTGCATGGGGCTCCAACCGGGCTTTGTGACAGGGAGTGAGTGTCCTGGTGACCCCCCAGGGCTGTGGGAATCGTTCAAGTTCAGCTCCCGGAGCCCTCGGCTGTTGGTGCCGACACCATCCCACTGCCGTCAGCATTGTGACCCCCTTGGAGGGACTGGGAAGGGTCGTTTTTGGGGGTTGCATTATAAAACCCGGTGGGTTTCTACCATGCCAGGGATCTGCCCTGTCCCCCATTCACATCTGTGTCCCTTCATTCCCGCGCAGGTGAGGAAGTTCCGGACCCTCACAGAGCTCATTATGGATGCTGAAGAGCACGTGAAGAACCCTTACAAAGGCAAAAAGCTCAAGGTATTGGGCAGGAATTAGGCTCAGTCCCTAAAGGGCAATGTCCCTCTTCCCTGGGACAAGGGGCTGTCAGCCCTGTGGCACCTCAGATCCGTGTGGCTCCACCGCTGGAGCCCCTGCAGGCACCTCACTGCCCATAATCCCGGCGTCCGTCTGCCCAAGGCTCCGGAGGCTGCGGGCGCTGGGCCCGGGCCAAGTCCCGGGTACATTTAATATGGGCAGCTGTATTGCTGGCAGCCTGCAGCCAAGTTTAGCTCCAGGGGGGCCGGGAAGCTGCCGTCCTATTCCTGGCCCCGCCGGGTCGGGAAGGGTGGTGCTCTCGACCGGGCGGCCCCAGGTCAGCTGATGCTCCATCCCTGGGAGTTGGGTCCCATCTGCTCCTCCTGCCTCAGCTTCCCCTCTTGCTCTGGATGGCTGGAGGCTGCTCCTGAGATTCCCAGCCCTGGGATACTGTAGTTCCTGGTGGAGCGCTTTTTCCCAGTGGTTTCCCCCTCCTGTGTCAGGGAGCTGGATCATCATCAGGGCTGGATGGAGGCAGGTCCCCCCAGTACTGGAGGAGCTGGTGGGTTTGGCTGTGCCCTGGCTCTGTGCTCAGTGTCCACTTTGCTATCTCCCAAGAAGCCCCTGACTCCCTGTTTCTGCTTCTTCATGGAAGCTGCCATCCTATTCCTGACCCATCAGGTTGGGCGGGGTGATGTTTTCCCCCAGGTGGCCCCAGGGCAGCTGATGCTCCATCCCTGGGAGTTGGGTCCCATCCCTTCCTCCTGCTTCAGTTTCCCCTCTTGCTCTGTGCTGGCAGCTCTGGGTGGCCAGAAGCTGCTCCTGGGATACTGTAGTTCCTGGTGGAGCCCTTGTTCCCAGTGGTTTCCCCCTCATTGCCTGCTGTTCCCGTGTCAGGGAGCTGGATCATCAGCAGGGCTGGATGAAGGCAGGTCCCCCCAGGACTGGGGGAGCCGCTGGGTTTGGCTGTGCCTGGCTCCATACCCAGTGTCCACTCTGCTGTCTCCCCAGAAACACCCCGACTTCCCCAAGAAGCCCCTGACTCCCTATTTCCGCTTCTTCATGGAGAAGCGGGCCAAGTACGCCAAGCTTCACCCCGAAATGAGCAACCTGGATCTCACCAAGATCCTGTCCAAGAAATACAAGGAGCTTCCCGAGAAGAAAAAGGTATTGCTGGGGGGTAGTCAGCAAGCCCCTTCCCACTATGTGCCTCTGCATGCTGGGCTCTGCCCAGCCCTCCCAGTCAAACCAGCAGAGCCCAAACTTCTGCCTGGCGAGGGCTTAATCCGGCTCTCGACGGGAGAAACGAGGTGTTCGTTTAGTCCTGTCAGACCTGTAAGGCTTCCTTGGCTTTTCCTGTCCTGGTTCCCAGGATCTGTGGGGTGGAGGCTGGCTGGGTCTGTCCGTCGGTCCGTCTTTTCCCGACGGACCTGGATGGTGGCTTTGCCGTTGGGTGGATCCGTGTTTAAGGCTGGGGTTAAGTCACACACCCGGCTGTGCCGCCCTGTCCGACCAGGGCATGGAGGGACAGGCTCTGGGAGATGCTGGGAGCAGAGATCTACCCATCTGGAGGTGCCAGAGCCTGGGCAGGTGTTTTGAAGGCCCCAACTCTCACTTTGGGGTGTCCAGGAAAAATCCAGGCACAAAGTCCTGCCGCGCCCTCTTTCCCAGGGCTGCTGGGATGCAGGAAGAGGGGAGAGATCCTGCTGCTGAATCCCTGGGCAGGCTGGAAACCCTCTGCTGGGAGCTGCAGGATCATTCCCTGGGCTGGGGAGCCTTCAAGACCCTTTGGGGGTGGTGGAATGCCCAGCCAGGTCAACAGGGATGTATCTTCCTGCCCATTCCCCAGTGCTGACATCCCTCTCCACCTCCCTGGTGGCTTTGTGTCCCCAGATGAAATACATCCAGGACTTCCAGCGAGAGAAGCAGGAGTTTGAGAGGAACCTGGCGAGGTTCAGGTGAGCAGGCAGGGCCTCCCCCCATTTCCCTGGGCCCCTCCAGGCAGATCCAATCTCCCCTCCTGCATGTAGCTCACAGGGGAATCCCTGATGAGCATTTTGGCTTGAAGGGAAGAAGGAATGCAGAAAAAAAAAGAGCAAGGAAATGGTGTCTGAGAGAATCCCTCTGGCTGGGAGACTGGATGAGGGGGACAGCAGAGGAGCAGCCATGCTCTGGGGGTCAGGGTCTGTGAGGGGGGGACAGGAGCCCTTCCACCAGCACTGATAAAAGCTGAAGTTACCACCCTGATCCTCAAGACCCTTCCCTTTTAACGTGGTGGCTGTGATCCAAGTGGATCCTGCTGTTCGCTGCTGCTGCTCCAGGGATGCAGCTGAGCCTGGGGGTGTACGTAGCTCATGCTCCCCAGGGAGGGACAGACTCAAATCTCTCCTCAGCCCCTCCTGCTCTTTTTGGGGACCCCGCAGTACCTGAGCCCATGGAAGCTCAGCCCTGCAGTGACAGTCGCCCCTTAGCAGGGAGGTTTAGGGGTGCTCTCCTTCCCCCTGCCACCTCCCTGACGCTCTCCCTTCCCCACCTCCCTGCCTGGTAAAGGGAAGACCACCCGGATCTCATCCAGAACGCCAAGAAATCCGACGTCCCCGAAAAACCCAAGACCCCCCAGCAGCTGTGGTACAACCACGAGAAGAAGATCTACTTGAAAGTGCGTCCAGATGTGAGTACGGTGGGTGGGAGTGAGTGCGAGTGTGAGTGTCGGGGGGTCCTGGACCCGCTGCTGGGGGAGAGGAGGGGGAAGGGAGAGAAGCATTTTAGGGGGGGATGGGCTGGAGGACACCACAGGAAGCTCCCAGCAGCCTGGACAGAGGTAAGAAGGGGCTCTGCACATCTGGAAGAGGCTCGGGGGTACAGCCCCCCCAACACTTTTTGCCAGGAAGGGGTGACCACAGCCTGAGTCAGGGCAGGAAGGAATTCCAGCACAAACATCCACCTCTGGCCATGCCCCCCACTCCCACGCACCCCCTTCCCCGGCCGTGAGCTCGGCTCGCAGCCCCCCACGGCCCCACGGCCGTCAGGCCCCACCAGGCCACGCTATTTTTTGTCATTTTTTTCATATTTTTTTATTCCTCTTTTTTTTTCTTTTTTTTTTCCTTTTTTTTTTTGATTTTGGATTTTACCCCTCTGCCCTCACCTCTGGCTTTGGGTTTTCAGGCCACCACGAAGGAGGTGAAAGAGTCGCTGGGCAAGCAGTGGTCTCAACTCTCGGATAAAAAGAGGCTGAAATGGATTCATAAGGCCCTGGAACAGCGGAAGGAGTACGAGGTAGGGAGCAGCCTCACCCCGTCCCCTCCACACTCGCCCCAACATTCACTCCAAGTCAACGTGGCCACACACAGCCAGCCTCTCCCGATAGCCAGCGTGGGGATTCAGGCAGGTCCCGGCAGGTCCCTAGTGAGTCTGAGCCCTGCCTACTCCAGCCATGTGCGAGGAAGGGAGCAGCAGCCCCAGGGAGAGGACTAGGGCGATGGTTGGCTTCTCTCTCCTCCTCCTCCGGCCCCCGGGCAGGCGGGGATGGCAGCCCCTCTGACCGCTCTCCGTCCTCCGCAGGAGATCATGCGGGACTACATCCAGAAGCACCCGGAGCTGAACATCAGCGAGGAGGGAATCACCCGCTCCACCCTCACCAAGGCCGAGCGGCAGCTCAAGGACAAGTTTGACGGACGACCCACGAAGCCACCTCCGTGAGTGCTGTCCCTCTCCACGCCGTGGTGTCCAGCTCTGCGCCGCCTCTGCGGACACTGGTTCTTGCTGATGAGGGAAATGGGGCTCTGCTTGGCTTGAGGAGCCCAAATCGTTTCTGGGGCCACAGGCACGGGAGCTTTAGATGGCATTTCAGGACAAATTTCTTTGTGGAAAGGGTGGTCAGGCATGGGAACAGGCTGCCCAGGGCAGTGGTAGAGTTGCCATCCCTGGAAGAATGTGAATGTGGCACTTAGGGACATGGTTTAGTGCTGGGCTTGGCAATGTTAGTTAATTGGTCACATCAGTGATCTTAGAGGGTTTTTCCAGCCTGCAGGGGCAGGTTGTCCCTAATGCTGGGTCCCTCCGTGGGTTTTTCAGGAATAGCTACTCCCTGTACTGTGCAGAGCTGATGGCCAACATGAAAGACGTGCCCAGCACCGAGCGGATGGTGCTGTGCAGCCAGCAGTGGAAGCTGCTCTCCCAGAAGGAAAAGGATGCATACCACAAAAAGTGCGACCAGGTGAGTGGCCAAGGATGGACAGGTAGAGGGACAGGCAGGTATGGGGAGGGAGCAATAGAATGGGAGAACCGGGGCTACAAATCTCCCTGGAAACACGCCCCTCACTCTTCCTCAGTCCCTGTTCTTGTCTGCACCACCAATTCCCCCCTGAGGTCCTTGGTCACCTTCTTTGATCCTGTCTCCCAGTCCATGTGTGGGTCTGGTGGAGCATGAGATTCCCAAGGGATTGAGGCTGGGTTGGGGGCTGCAGGAGGCAGGGATGGGGCGAGGGATCTCTATGTAACCCCACGTCTCCTTCCAGAAAAAGAAAGACTACGAGATCGAGCTGCTCCGCTTCCTGGAGGTGAGTGATGTGGGAGTGCTCGGCCAGCGGGTGCTGGAGGTCCCAAATCTGGAAGGGGGGAAAACCCTGCCCAGGGGCTATGATGTGAGGGGCTGCCCTCTGCTCCCCCAGAACATGGCTGGACTTGCCCATGGGTGCTGTGCAGATGGTTGCACATAGTCTTGACCTTCCATCATCCTAATGCCCGACCCAGTGACTTCCAGTTGGGCACTGGGAGGTGGAGGGTGCTGGAAGGGGAGGTGGGGTGAGCAGAGGGCTGGAGCTGGAGGAGAGGGTGCTGTGCCACCCAGTTCAGGAGGGGAGCTGGGGTGAGCAGAGGGCTGGAGCTGGAGGAGAGGAGTGCTCAGTGGCTGTGGCTGCAAAGCCTCTCACTTCCTTCCCTCACTGGGGCGTAGGCGGGGGAGCCACACCGAGGCCACCCCAGCATCGTCCCCGTCCCCTGGGCGGACGTGACGCGGCCCCGGCTGCGGCTGCAGAGGCAGGGGGTGGAAAACCCAGGGGTGTGCCTGAATCTGGGCACCTGCCCCCCTGCTTTCACCAAGAAACAGCAGATGAGGCTGAGCCAGGAAGGGGACAGAGCCAGGGGAGAGGGATGTTGAGTGGCAAGGAGCTGACAGCATAGGGACCCCCAGCCCGTACACGTGCAGTGCCTGATGCTGGTGCTGTCTGGACCAGTGCCCCTATTCCCTCATTGCCTCAAGACCTCATTAGCGTTGGGCTGTCCTAACAATGTCCCTCCCCCTGTGCCACCCAGAGCCTGCCCGAGGAGGAGCAGCAGCGGGTGCTGGGCGAGGAGAAGATGCTGGGCGGCAACCGGAAAGGGGCGACGAGTCCCGCATCCAAAAAATCCTCACCGGAGACCGGCAAGGTGGGAGCAGCACCGGGAGGGATGGGGCAGCACGTGCCAGACGTGTGGGGTGGGGTTGTGGCATCTCGGGGGGGGGGGCTTTGAGAGCTTCATTCCTGGATTCTTTGGTCCCTCCATGGGCTCGCCCCCCCTCACGGCCCCGTGTCCCCCCCTCAGGCCAGCTCCGAGAAGCCCAAACGACCCATCTCTGCCATGTTCATCTTCTCGGAGGAGAAGCGGAAGCAGCTGCAGGAGGAGCGGCCGGAGCTGTCGGAGAGCGAGCTGACCCGGCTCCTGGCCCGCATGTGGAACGACCTCTCAGAGAAGAAGAAGGTTGGTACCATCCCTGACCCCCCTCCTCCTCCCCTATCCCCATCTCTGCTCCCTTGGGCACCTCCGGAGATGCTCCTGTCCTTGTCCTGCTCCAAGGGGCACAGTTATCCCCCGGAGCAACACAGCATCACCCAGGCACTGGTGTCAGCACTGATGGGCACTGCCAGCTGTGCCCCCTCCCTCTCATCACCTGGGGGGTCAAAACCCACCAGCTTAAATGTCAGAGCATCCTTGAGCCTCAGTTTTAAGGCTTAATGGTTTTCCTGGTGGGGGGGAGTCTGGAGACAGCATTGGGCGTGGTGGGGGCTGTCAGTGCTACCGTGGGAACAGTGCTGGGGGGAGCTGCATCGTCCTGGTGTTTGGGGGCTGTGCCCACCTTCACCCCCTGCTGTGCCCCCCTCCCAGGCCAAGTACAAAGCGCGGGAGGCGGCGATGAAGGCGCAGTCAGAGAAGAAACACGGCTCAGATAAAGAGGAGCGCGGGAAACTGCCCGAGTCTCCCAAAACAGCCGAGGAGATCTGGCAACAGAGCGTCATCGGGGACTACCTGGCTCGTTTTAAGGTGAGGGGATCATCACTCCCACCAGCAGGAATTACCATGTACCTTCTCCCTGGCTTTCACACCTGGGTTTGGGTTGGGAGCTGTGGGGAAGGCGGGGTAATGGGGTGGAGTGTCCTGGGCATTTTGAGTGCATCTAAAACCACCATCGTGGTGGTTCTGTGGTACAGAACGACCGGGGCAAAGCGCTGAAGGCCATGGAGGCCACTTGGAACAACATGGAGAAGAAGGAGAAGCTGATGTGGATCAAGAAAGCGGCGGAGGATCAGAAGCGATACGAGGTGGGTCCCTGCCCTGTCCCGCCCCTCACTGTGTCCAGTGGCTGATGCTGCCCCTCTCCCTGACCCCTCTCTCTCCTCTGGCTCAGAGGGAGCTGAGCGAGATGCGGGCCCCTCCGTGCTCCACCAACTCCACCAAGAAAATGAAATTCCAGGGAGAGCCGAAGAAACCCCCCATGTGAGTACCAGGGATCCAAAAAACTGGGTCTGGCTGTGCTGGTGGGACGAGCCTGGAGCAGCTGCAAGAGGAGGGAGGGTGGGCTGGGTGGAGGAGGATTATGGACGCCTGGGCCGTTTGTCCCAATCCGGTCCCCGTGCTCACCCCTGCAGGAATGGTTACCAGAAGTTCTCCCAGGAACTGCTGTCCAACGGGGAGCTGAACCACCTCCCGCTGAAGGAGCGGATGGTGGAGATCGGCAGCCGCTGGCAGCGCATCTCCCAGGGCCAGAAGGACCACTACAAAAAACTGGCAGAGGAGCAGCAGAAACAGTACAAGGTGCACCTCGACATCTGGCTCAAGGTAAGTGCTGGGCCTGATGCCCAGTGGGGGGCTCTGGGATCCGCTGATTTTGGGGATGATGCTTGGCATGGTCTCTGCTCAAACCCTTCCTGACGGGAACCACCATCTCCAGGCCCTTTTTTGACATTTTGTAACTTAAAAGGATAAAAATGTATATATACGAGGAGGGTGTGCCCTGTGCTAGAGCCCTTCCCTGCTCCATCCCCCATTCCATTTGGTGTCTGCCCATCCCTGACTGTGTCTTGTCCCTGCAGAGCCTCTCGCCCCAGGAGCGGGCTGCCTACAAGGAACACATTTCCAATGTGAGTATCTGTGTGGCACTGCTGGGGGGGTTGTCTTGGGGGTTTGGGGGTGTACTGGGTGTCCCAAGGGCCTGGGGCCAGGCTGGGGTCAGCCCTGGATGAGGTTTGGATGTGTCACATTCTGAGAGCCCCTCCAAGGGGGATTCACCCCTGTGGCAGCTCCGCAGTGGGATTTTCTCTGGGCTGGGCACTGGGAAGGAGGAGAGCTTGAGCCCTAAATGGTTTTGTTTTGTCCCCCCTCGCTGCAGAAACGCAAGAGCATAGGGAAGATCCGGGGTCCCAACCCCAAGATGAAGCCAACGATGCAGTCCAAGTCGGTGAGTCACAACAGCCACATGGGGACACTCGATGCCCCCTCCCTGGGGAACATGTCTGTGGGGACCCACATTGCTTGTTCAAGGCATCCCTGGTGCTTCCAGCTGCCTGCCCTCTCCTTGAGATCATAAACCACAGGACCTCCCCAAATCCCTGCTTACTACCCATTCAGGATGGATTTTATCCCCTGGCACCTGTTCAGGGAGCCTTTTTGGGGCCATTTGCAGCATAAATGGGGAAAGGCCTCCATCAAGGTGTGGGGTGGGGAGTCACCTGATCCTGCTCAGTGGATGGAGGAACCCAAAGGCTGATGGCCAAGGACGGGGTGGGTGCTGCACCCGTGGGTTCGGGTGTCCCGGGGCACCCACCCACACCAACCCCCTCTCTCAGGAGTCAGAGGATGACGACGAGGAGGAAGAGGAGGAGGAAGACGACGACGAAGACGAGGATGACGATGACGACAACGGCGACTCGTCGGAGGAAGGCGGCGACTCCTCGGAGTCCAGCAGTGAGGAGGAGAGCGAGGACGGGGACGAGGTGAGGCTGCAGCACGGGGAGGGCACGGGGAGGGCGGTGGGGCCGCTGGGGCCCCCCAACGTTCCCATTGCACTCACTCTGCCCCCCTCACCCTCATCCGGGGCCGGGGGGCCTCTGCAGCCAGGCTCAGATAGAACTGTGGTGGAGCAGCTCCCGGGAAGCAGGGGGGGACACAGGGAGGCGAAGGGGAATGGGATCCCCCCCATGTTCCCGGGGAGGGCGCGAGGAGCAGCCGCGGGGCGTAGTCAGGAGCAGCCTCGGGACGTAGAGGTGCGGGGGGGATGTGCAGAGCCCCCAGTGAGCAGAGAAAAATCTCCTGTCTTTTTCCTGGTGGAGATACTGAGTCTGGTCTCGGCTCCGTTTGCGCCAGTGTGAATGCCGAGTAAGTCACCAGAGTCAAAGCTTTACACCGGTGCAACTGAAATCAGAGTATGCTGGATGGCGCTGGGGCCAGAAACCGTGTCCGTGCCTTGTGCTCGCCACCGGACAGGTGAGGTGTTTCCACCCCCTCGCTGGTCTCAGCTCACGCCTCTTCCTTCCCTGGCTTTAGAGGGGGGAAACTGAGGCACGAGGCGGGTCGGGTACCCTCCCTCGGATCGTGTAGCGAGGCAGTGGCAGAGGTGAGGGCAGGACCCCCGCGCGCTGCTCCGGCACGTCCCCCCCGCCCGGCATCCCTGAGCTGAGCCCTTGCAAACACACTCCTGACTCCTGCCCGGCGTCCCCCCTCCTCCACCCCCCCGAGTCCCCGAGGGACAGCGGTGGGAGGGATGGGGTTGCACCCCCGCGCTCTGTGGGGACCCCCCTGTGCTGCAGCGGGGAGGGCAAAGGGGTGACGATGGGTAAACCTTGCCCTGACCCCCCCCCGTCCTCTCTGCCATCACCCTCCCAGAACGATGAGGATGACGAAGATGAGGATGATGAGGATGAGGATGACAACGACTCAGAGGGCAGCAGCAGTTCCTCCTCCTCCTCGGGGGACTCCTCCGACTCCGACTCCAACTGATCCGGCCAAGCTCTTCGTAACGTCGTTTGGTTTCTTGGTTTCGGTCCCAAATCCCACTCGCAGCCCCCCAAAATCCTTCCTCTGCTTCCTCCTGACCCCCTGGGCGAGACACAGCCCCCCCGTGGGACCCCCAACACGAGGAACAGGGGTCGGGGGGACCCCTCCACCAAGCTCACACTACGGAGGGGGATCAGGGGGCTGCCCCCCCCGGCTGGGGGGCAAGGAGGGGGCCCCCCATCCCTCCCCCCCGCTTTACTCCCGGGGGGAAGTGATTTATTTTTTTTTTAAATTTCATTCTTTTCGGGGAGGGGGGCATCCCTACCCCCATCACCCCTTCGCTACCAGCTCCGGACTTTATAGAAAGAGAAGAAAAACACACAGGAAAACAAAAAAACACAAAACAAAAAAAAAGAAACAAACAACAGCACCCCCCCCTCCCCCAACACACCTTTTTTTTTAATTAAAAAACCCAGAAACGGAGAAAAAAAATATCCCCCCCTCCCCGCGCAGCCCCTCCGGCAGCGGGCGCGGAGCACGAGCCGAGGCGCTCAGGACTCAGCCGATGGGACAATGTCTCCTTTTGCAACCTCCCCCACCCCTCTGTGCACCCCTCCTCCCCCCCAAAAATCCCCCCCTTGTACAGTCTGGAAGCTGCACCGGGAGCTGCCCGGGAACTCTGCATCCACGGCACTTGGGAACGCCGGCCACGGCCCGGACCGTGCCCACCCCCCTGCCCCGGCACGGCCCCGATTTGGTGGGGGGTGGGATGGGGGGGGGAGGTTGAAGGGAGGGGAGAGTGTGTGTGCGAGCGTGCGAGTGTGTGCCAGGGTGGGGGGCACCCGGGGGCTCAGCGTGACCAAGGGGGGGGCGCGGGGTCCCCCCCGCTCTGTTGTCGGTGGTTGTTGTGCCGTTGTATTTTATTTTATTTTTTTGTTTGTTTTTTTTTTTCCTTTTTATAAAACGAGAAAGATCCATCTTTTATTTTTCATTTCCCCCCCCCTTTCCACCCGTTTTCCTTCCCCTCCCTTCCCCCGTTTTCCCCTCCACCTCCAGTGAAGCTGCTCCTCTCCCTTCACCCCAAATCCTTGGGGGGGGGGGGTGTGACACCAGCACTCCCCTTGCCCCAGTTTACCCCCAGTTATCCCCAGTTTGTCCCCCCCACCGTGGAGGTTTCATGCCCCTCGGGCCATGCTGTAAATATTGGTGTGGTTTGGGTTTATTTTGGGGGGGTCAATGCCCCCCTCCCTGGGAGGGGGATGGGGCCGCGGGGACCGGGGTGGGTGCATTGGGGGGGGGCCTGTCAGGGGTCCCCCCCTTTTTTTAAGCAGACACAAGCACCAGCAATCCCACGGCACCTCCCTGCAGGGTTCCTGTCCCCCCACCCCACGCCCCCTCAAAAAAAAACCCCCACCCAGTGCCACTGGGGACCCCCACTATACTGGGGGGGGGCACAAGGTTGGTTCTTTCTGCCCCCTCCCATCCTGACCCCGGAGACGAGTTGGGGGTGGGACAGGATTTGGGGGGCCCCAGGGAAGGGGACAGAGGGCACTGCCCCCCTCCCAGCTGAGGAGGGGGGGGCCAGGGGGGGCTTTTTCTCCCCTGGGCTATAACTTGGCCATTTTTCTCTTCACTCAAATCGCAGTGGGGGCTGAGGGGGGGGTCAAGCTGCAGGTTTGGGGTTTTGAGGGGGGTCCCTCCCCTCCCATCTCTAACCCCCTCCCAGGTTTGCTGCTCTCAGCACCCCAAATCCCCCTGAAGACTTGGGGGTGGCGGGGGGGGCATCACCCCTTATCCCGGCCTCAAATGGGGCTGAAAAACCACCATTTTGGGCAAACGACCCCAAACCTGGTGGGGGTGGGGGTGAACCCGGGTGCTCCCGCACGGACAATCCCCCTGTGTCCCCCCCGGGACCGGGGCCCGAAGAGAACCCAGATGGTGTCCCCCTCCTCCATAATGTCTGTCTGTCCATCCCTCTGTCTCCTCCTCCCCTTCCCCAATCCATTTGGGATTTTCCTTTCATTTTCTTCCCAATTTTTAATCCCCCTTCCCCCCCCTGAAATCCCCTAAGGGGAACCCCGCCATCCCTTTTTTTCTGCTGAATGTACCCAGCACCGTCGTGTTTCAGTGGATGTGTTTTTAGTACAAAAAAAAAGACAAAAAAAAAATTACCCCCCCTTTCCCCCCCCTCTTTTTTTCTGTTTAAAAAAAAAATAAGAAAAAAAAAGGTAAAAAAAAATTAAATAATAAAAAAGAAAAATTCTTACAGCGCCGACAAATTTGGGGAGGGGGTGGGGGGAGAAGGTGTTTGCGCTGCAAGAGAATTCCTGAGTGCATT